TCGGGAAAGCAGTTCCTGCAGTATACTCTGAAGAATGAACCATTGAACTATTAGTAATGCTTCATTACCTTAGATTGGTATGTAGAAGGAGTGTAACTAGCTATATTACATTAGTTAGTATTATTATAGCATTTAGTTCACTAGTTGTTTACAAAAACAATAAACTACCGGTAGTTTACATAATTTTGGCTTGATTTTGTAATAGCTATCATGTGCCAATTGTTATTGCTATAAAGCCCTATAAATTACTGGGGATTATTTCATTTTGCCACTATTAATTTGTTTCAGATCTAATAGTGTCAAATTATACGGCATGCAGAATAGCAGAGACGTGTTTACAAAATTCTGACTTAATGCATGGTAGATATCAATAGTGAAACGTTTTGGGCCACATGAATTATTTACAAGCATGTTATTCGTGTGATGAATTGTGGCTCAAATTGTTTAGTACAATGTCCATCAATCACATGACTCTAGCAGGACCGATCGGTGATGGCAACTTACAGAATGGCTTCATTGTTGGAGAGGACAATACTAACGTGTGTAGTAACTACGTGTGGTTGTTTACACGAACATAAAAGAATGAAAGATAGTAAATACTTAATAGAGTAATGTCTTAATTGGCTTGATATCGTAATATGAAGCTGTGTTGCTCTACAACCCTGTGTTTAATGATAATTGATATTGCTATTATCTAACAAATTTTGGCCTAAGTGCCAAAATTGTACTATACACAATAACAGGTCATAGACACGTGTGGAATCAAGTTTTCCAAATTTTGAAAATAGCAACATACCGGTATAGATTAGTATTCTCACTGACATTGAGGAATAAACTGAAAATGACATTTTTGAACAGTACAAATAATTTACATTATCTACATCATTTCATCCAGTCATTAGTAATATACTGTAAACACATTTTGGTGTGTCCCTACTGAGTGGACTGTTTATTCTAGAGTACTATGTAAGGACATCTGTGTAGTAATAAAGTGAAGCATTTCTTGGGTTCTCCACACTAATGAGTAATAATAAAAACACATTCCTAATCCTTATCACACTAGACGGGAGCCTAGCTAGTTGAGACTACTCATCAAATTTACTCTATTTTCTGTCCTACTACTGACCACAAGACTAATTTTCTAAGTATGTGTATCTGATTGTACATGAATGAATTGTAGATAACTACTGAATGTGCAATATCTTCCTTTAAGTCTATTGTCTTTATTAATTTCTACAAGTATATTGTGCATTTCTATATCATTCCATTGCAGTTATGGCTGCAGTATTGGGAAGGACTCTGGTACAGATAAAGAATGTAGGCAGATCAGTCAGTGTACCCAATGACCCAATAGCCAGGCTCATGTACTACTTTGATTGTGTTTGCACTTGCGTTGAACCTGATAGTGACTACACTATACGTCGTCTCAGAGATTATCGAAATTATTCTCGATTGACCGGCGAAGAAGAGGCTCAACTCATAGTCCTCTGTCTTGCTCTCAGCCCTGACAACTTGGTTGGATCAATATTCCATCCAGTCAACGACTGTGGATCATCTACAAACAAGTTTGTTGAGATAAGTGCCGTCAAAACAGACCTTCTTGTGACCAAATCTCTCCTCATTGGAGGACAGCGGAGAAGGGTGCAAAAAGTCATGTTTTTCCAGAAGAGTTGGATGGACAGAA